CAACATGGTGAAACCCCGTCTCTACTAAAAAAAATACAAAAAACTAGCTGGGCATGGTGGCGCGTGCCTGTAATCCCAGCTACTCAGGAGGCTGAGGCAGGAGAATTGCCTGAACCCAGGAGGCGGAGGTTGCGGTGAGCCGAGATCGCGCCATTGCACTCTAGCCTGGGTAACAAGATCGAAACTCCGTCCCAAAAAAAAAAAAAAAAGACCTAGAATCAAATAGAAAGGAATGCCTGGGTTAAGATGAGAGGTTGTGGAGACCAAGGTTTTCTCACGCAGACGAAGCCTCTAGGGAACAAGCTTCAGCAAGAATAGATGGTAAATGCTTCTTCTTTTTTTTTTTTTTTAAGACGGAGTTTCACCATGTTGGTCATGCTGGTCTTGAACTCCCGACCTCAGGTGATCCACCCACCTTGGCCTCCAAAGTGTTTGGATTACAGGTGTGAGCCACCACGCCCGGCAGTAAATGCTTCTTATCAGATCTCTGCGGTGAAGTGGTGAGGCTGATCTGATTCCCACTTCATGGCCTGAACTAGTTTTTCTGGATTATCTGGAATATCCTCTGCCAAAGGGAGGGTACATCCATGGGTTAGGTGCTTAGAATTTTAACTTTCATTTACACACAGGAGAACGCCAGCTCCTTCAACCACTTACACCAAACCCTCTGTGGAGGAGAGGCGGGGGGTGGGGCCCTGGGCTCCGATTCAAGGTGCCCGGACCTCAGGGCTCACAGACGCCGCATGCTGGACTGGGAGGAGTGGAGGAGCGGAGGAGGACACGGAGGGCTCCTCTCTGGTGGGCTGACTGAAATGGCAGTGGTCTGGCGGCGGCCAGAGCCCTCCCTGTGTAAGTCAATCAGCAGGCTCATTTTCCAGTGCGCACCCCTGTGAAGGCATGGACCGTCCACATGCTGGAGGATGCGGTCACAGCGTTGCCTTGGGACAGCCTGTGTCTCCAGGTCTGGGTGTGCACGGCCCAAGTGGGCCTTCTGGTCGGGCCCTGGGGAGGCACCGAGACAGGTGGGAGTGATGGCACGCAGGCGCGTGGAGACGAGGCGGGTACACCGGGAACCGGGCAGGTCCAGGAGGCTCCCTGCGGGAAGCTGCACCCCACCGCGGAACCTGTCTGGCAGGCTCTCTTCTTGTGGAGGAGGTCTAGCTGAGAGGCCACACGGCCCACTGGCTCTGTTTTCACCCTGAAGCTGTGCTGGGCGGTCCTTCACCCTGGGCTTCGGGGTTCTCTGGGAGGAGCAGATAAACCAAGCAGAGGAGAGGCTGGAGAGGCCAGGCCGTCTGAGCACAGCAGGTGAAATTCCCTCCCTGAAGGCCTCCAAAAAGTCAGCCTGGCTGATCCTCCAGTCTGGGCAGAGCAATTGTTTGATTTTGAACAAGATATTGTTTAGAGAAGACACATTAGCCCGAAATTACTGAATGCCAGTCTGGGAGGCTGAAAGAAGTCTACACGGGGTTGAAAGAAGAGAGACAACAACATTGAAATGCAAATTTAGCCATAACTGTGTATGTTAAGTGTTATTTAAATAAGCTCTTAAAGATCCTTTTCTTTTTTTATTTTTATTTTTATATTTATTTATTTATTTATTTATTTTTGAGACGGAGTCTCACTCTTGTTACCCAGGCTGGAGTGCAATGGCGTGATCTCGGCTCACCGCAACCTCCGCCTCCTGGGTTCAGGCAATTCTCCTGCCTCAGCCTCCTGAGTAGCTGGGATTACAGGCACGCGCCACCATGCCCAGCTAATTTTTTGTATTTTTAGTAGAGACAGGGTTTCACCATGTTGACCAGGTTGGTCTCGATCTCTCGACCTCGTGATCCACCCGCCTCGGCCTCCCAAAGTGCTGGGATTACAGGCTTGAGCCACCGCGCCCGGCCTATATATTTATTTTTAAAAAGATGGGGTTTCACCATGTTGCTCAGGCTGGTCTTGAACTCCCGACCTCAGGTGATCTGCCCACCTTGGCCTCCAAAGTGCTTGGATTACAGGCTTGAGCCACCACCGCCTGGCCTATTTATTTTATTTTATTTTTAAGATGGGGTTTCACCACGATGGCCAGGCTGGTCTTGAACTCCTGACCTCAAGTGATCCACCTACCTTGGCCTCTCAAAGTGCTAGGATTACAGGTGTGAGCCACCGCATCTGGCCAATCCTTTCCTTTATTTCTCTTTTTTTGTTTTGAGTCTGAGGCTCTTTCCATCGCCCAGCCTGGAGTGCAATGGCGCGATCTTGGCTCACTGCAACCTCCGCCTCCCGAGTTCAGGCAATTCTCTTGCCTCAGCCTCCTGAGTAGCTGGGCCTACAGGTATGTGCCACACTGCCTGGCTAATTTTTTTTTTTTTTTAATATTGTATTTTTGAAGAGATAACATGGGTTTCACCATGTTGGCCAGGCTGGTCTTGAACTCCCAACCTCAGATTATCAGCCCAACTCAGCCTCCCAAAGTGCTGGCTGGGATTACAGGCATGAGCCTCCAAACTCGGCCGAAGATCCTTTTGAAAAGCAAGATGTGGGGTGCCTTTGTGTGGAGGTCACCATCTCAAGGCTCACAGGCAATTCTGGGCTCAGAGTGAGGATCCCAGGATGGTGCCGGACCCAGATGGAAAACTCAGGCAGCTTAGATGAGTGTCCTGAAGGTGCTTGTGGAGAATTTTTTTTTTTTTTTTTTTTGAGACGGAGTTTCGCCCTTGTTACCCAGGCTGGAGTGCAATGGCGCGATCTCGGCTCACCGCAACCTCCGCCTCCTGGGTTCAGGCAATTCTCCTGCCTCAGCCTCCTGAGTAGCTGGGATTACAGGCACGAGCCACCATGCCCAGCTAATTTTTTTTTTGTATTTTTAGTAGAGACGGGGTTTCACCATGTTGTCCAGGATGGTCTCGATCTCTCGACCTCGTGATCCACCCGCCTCGGCCTCCCAAAGTGCTGGGATTACAGGCTTGAGCCACCGCGCTTGTGGAGAATTTAAACAAAACTGTTTCATTAGATGTGAGAGTGGAAAAAGTCACTGTTTCCAAATGAATGGGCTGATACTATGTGATTTTTTTTTTTTTTTTTGAGACGGAGTTTTGCCTTGTTACCCAGGCTGGAGTGCAATGGCGAGATCTCGGCTTACCGCAACCTCCGCCTCCTGGGTTCAAGCAATTCTCCTACCTCAGCCTCCCGAGTAGCTGGGACTACAGGCACGCGCCACCACGCCCAGCTAATTTTTGTATTTTTAGTAGAGACAGGGTTTCACCATGTTGACCAGGATGGTCTCGATCTCTTGACCTTGTGATCCACCCGCCTCGGCCTCCCAAAGTGCTGGGATTACAGGCTTGAGCCACCGCACCCCGCCTGATCTTGCATTTTGCAGCCTTGCTGAGCTCACCTACTCAACCCAAGAGCTCTGACATGTAGGGAGGAGAAGCTCCTTCAACAATGAGTCCTCGGCCAGGTGAGGTTGCTCATACCTGTAATTCTAGCACTTTGGGAGGCTGAGGTGGGTGGATCACCTGAGGTCAAGAATTCAAGATCAGCCTGGACATCATGGTGAAACACATCTTAAAAAAAAAAAAAAAAAAAAAAGCATCCTCAACAGAGACTTGATGATGGAGGTAGCTACCGTGGCTTCTCCATTTCATGGTGACAGGCTCAGGCACCACCTGTCAGAGGCAGTGTTCCACAAAAGCAAGGTCCCTCAGCAGGGAAGCTTGCATTGCAACTCCGCCTCTGCCAGGTGGGGCTGGGGAGATGCAGAAGTCCCCAGGCCAACACTGGCAATGGGCTGTGGAGGAAGGTTGTGAGCGGCCGGTCATCAGGGCAGGGTGAGCAAGAGGTGAGGAGGGCAGAAGGAACTGTGGGGGATGGGGGATGAAAATGAATGCGAGGATAGATGGGGGGAAGGCAGAGGAGATAAAGATTGAGGACACAGGTCCCATCACACGTCTCAGAGAGTGGAAGTCGCTTGGGGCCCACCCATCTCAGTACACCCCTGGGTGAGCCCCATTTTCTCTTCTTTACTGGACGGCATTCTACAAAAAAAAAAAAAGAAAAATTCAAAAGTGGACAGCTCTATCTGAGACACACACACAATCCCTGCAGAAGACCCCACAGTAAAAGCAGGGGCCTCACGATCAGCCTGTTCAGACTCGGGTGTGGACCATGGACAGGACCTGGCAAAGTAGGTGAATGTTTAAGAAAAAGTCAGGATTAATATTGCAAATGTCAGAAAACAGGGCTGCTTGAGGGTCAAGAGGGCTTCCTTGCTTGGGGAATCCTGCTTGTACCTCTGGCCAGGCCAGCCTCCACCGCACCCCTACACTGGCCTCAGCAACAGAGCTGGAGCCCCTTGAGTTCCCCCAGGGTGGGCCAGGCACAGTTGTGGGCTCAGCAGGTTCTCGCAGCCAAGACTGAGCCTAAACTCCCTCCTCAGGTATAGGCCTCTCCATCCTAAACAAACAGAAAGCTCTGCCGACTCCTCTGACAGCTGTGTCCTCCGCTGTAAAATGCAGGTCACTTACGTGGGGGGCTTCCCACCCCAGGGTGGGGCCCACAGGCCTTCCCGGCCTCCCCTCCTGCTTGGGCAGCGCACCTCGCCCCTCCTACCCCCACCTCTGCCTCCCACAGGGGCACTGAGGGGCTGGTGTGATTTGAGGCTCTGTGGAAAGCACCCAGCCTCCTCTCCCAGGCTGGCTCGGCGGCCTGTGGCTTGCTGGAACCTCAGGCATTTGGGGTCCACAGCCCCAGTCAGGAAACGCAGACCTTCTGCTGGGCAGTGACTTCAACACCCCCTTTGCTGCGCCCACCGTGAGGACCACACGGGCTGTGACCGGGCCCCCTTCCGGAGGGACATTCTGTTTCTGTGGCTGGGAGGCGGCTCCAACTTCACCTCTGCCCCCGCTTGTGGGCCCCTTGACCCTGGACGGGGCGGGAGCCTCTTCCTTGTCCTCGGGTCAGAACTGGCCCCGTGGCCCCGCCCGGCTCCACCCCCACGCGGGCGGTCCCGGCCCACGCGGGAAGCTCCTTAAGCCCGGGCGCGCGGCGGGACCCGCGGAGCCGCGACGATGGCGGAGCCGCCTGGGGCCGAGCCGGGGGCGCAGCGGGGCCCCCGCACCTACGCGCGCCGCTGGGTGTTCCTGGCGGCCGTGGGCCTGCTCAGCTGCTCCAACGCCACGGTAGGGGCGGGCCCGACCCTCGGTCCCCGCGGACCAGCGGGGTTCGCTCTCCTGCGGCCGCAGCCCGCGGAGCGGGGGGGGGGAGGGGGTGGGGGGCTGTCTGTCCGTCTGTCCCGCTGGTGGCTGGACCCAGGAGATCTGACCTTCCCCGGTCTTCAGGGGCTCCAGCCGGAGGCCCGGGGTCCCTCGTCCCCGGCCGGTCACGGAGAGGCGCCTCCGTCCACCCTCCCCGCCCGTGGCCGCGGGCCGGAGCAGAGGCGGGTTTGGAACTGCCGACCCTCCCGGACTCGGACGACGGCGGTTCCCGGCCTGGGCCGGCGTCCGGGGCTGCACCCGCCCTCTCCCCGCCCCGTGTGCGCCCCTCCGCCCTCCCCGGGAACCTCGGAACTGGTCGGGCAGCACCTGCCCATCGTGCAATTAACACCTGGAGTTGGCAGCAGCCCCGCAACTCAGGGAGGCGCCGGGGGGCGGGGGGGGGGGCGGGACGCTCAGCGTGGAGAGCAGGAGCTGCTCTTAGGCCTGGGTCGGGGCTCCTGCAGGGGGCCTGGGGCCCTCCCCTCTTCCTTTGCTGGCTGGGTATGAAGAGCCAGCCCCTGGCTGAGGCAGGCCGGGCCTCTGCCACATGGGCCTGGGGGCTGCTGCTGCCCACAGACACCTGCACCAGCTGTAACTCACGGCCGCGGCTGGGCTTCCCGGCCTCTGTGTCCAGCACTGGGGAAGCCATACCTGGCTGCGGTGGGGCGTCTGGGGGCACAGCGCAGCTTCCATAGGTCTGAGAGTCACAGGGTGTCCTGAGTGTGGGTGTCCTGGGGGGGGGTGTCCAGGGGCGTGTCCTGGGTGGGGGTGTCCCAGGTGGGGGTGTCCTGGGTGGGCGTGTCCTGGGTGGGGGTGTCTTGGGAGGGTGTCCAGAGGCGTGTCCCGGGTGGGGATGTCGAGGGGGGACAGTCAGGCATCCTACTGCAGTTCTTCACCATTTTATTAGTATGTACAAGCAGTCATGGAACACACAGAAACCTCACACTGACACCGTTGTCATGGTCTCTGTGTGGGTCGCCACAGTGAACCACGTTCACCCCAGCCAAGTGCCCTTGAGGCTGAAGGTTACTCATGTGCAGCCGGTGACCGGGGCTCCCGGGTTCCAGTGGGCAGCATAAGGGGCCGTTGGCGCAGAGCCCAGGTTAACACCCCCACCCCACAGAAGGCAGCCGCCCAGTGCTCTGGACAAGACTCAAAGGGACCCACCGGGGGGAGCGAGGATGGGGCCACGGCTGGGAGGGGAGGAAGGGAGTCCTCCCACGCTGCCCTGCGTGCATCAGATGCATCTCTGCTCAGGGAGGCAGCTGTGGGCCAAGGAACCGGGACAGAGCTGAGTCTGGAGAGGCAGCTAGGCTCCGCAGCGTGGGCTTTGTCAGTGGAGGGCTGTCTTTCTCTCCCTGGGGCCGGGCCAGGCAGGCAGCAGCTGGGCCTGGCGAGCTTGTCCTGAGAAAAAAGGAAGACACAGTGACTGTTGCCCAAGCTCCCTGTGGCATCTGTGGCTGAGTCAGACCTTCTCCGGGCGGAGCCTGGGTCTGGCTGCTGGGCCCCAGGGCAGACTCAGGGAACAGCCTCCTCCTCCTGTAGTGAGTCCCGTGGCCCACTCCACTTTGGCCTCCCACAGGGATGAGCCGGTCTCACCTCCTGCAGGAGGCCTGGCCCCTGTCCCAGCGTGCACCTGTGCTTCGTGCCGGATGTCTGTGGGGTGAAGAGTCCTGGCACTTGATAATCCCTGTGGCTGGGAAGTGGGGCCTGCTCTGGCAGCATCCTGCTCAAACACCCGGGCCTTGTGGGAGGGGAGGTCGGGCTGGCCTTGGGTGGGGCCGGCCTGAAATCCAGAGGTTCTAGGGGTGACCCTGCCTTCGAGCCCCAGGTCTGGTCTGGGTGGGGCTCGTGGTCCTGTAGGCTCAGTGTCTGCCCCTCAGGCTGGTCCTGGGTGAGGATGTGCTCTCTGACCCTGCTGCTGGGGGCCCTCCCTTGGGGGAGACGGTGGTGCCCTTCCGGGCAGGAAGGGCCTGTGTCCATGCTGGGCCGTGTCCCCTCGGCCCACACAGGCTGGCTGGGACAGTGCCTCTCGGGCGTGTAGGCCCCGGGTTGCGGGCCCTGAGCCGGCCCCGCCTGGCCCCACAGCTGTGGCTCAGCTTCGCGCCTGTGGCTGACGTCGTTGCTGAGCACTTCGGCCTGTCCACGGAGCAGATCAACTGGCTGTCGTTGGTCTACCTCGTGGTGTCCATCCCGTTTGGTGTGGCGGCCATCTGGGTCCTGGACTCTGTCGGGCTCCGCGGGGCGGTGAGTCGGACCCCACACCACGGCCTGCTCTGGGACAGGGCAGGGGCCCCTGCATTTGGGTATGAGAGTCGACGCCTCCTCCCCAGACCAGGGCCTGCCGGTCCCAGCAGCTGGGGAGCCCGGCAGAGCCGTCGGGGTGGCTGCGGTGGCGGGTCCAGGTACAGGGAGGGTGGGGTGGACACTTGGCTGGTGGCAGAGTTCCTGACCCCTCCCTAGCCCCGTCCCTGACCCCGTTCCTGACCCATCCCTGACCGCGTCCCTGATCCCGTCCCTGATCCCGTCCCCGTAGACCATCCTGGGCGCGTGGCTGAACTTTGCAGGGAGTGTGCTACGCATCGTGCCCTGTGTGGCGGCTGGGACCCGAAACCCGTTTGCCTTCCTCATGGGCGGCCAGAGCCTCTGCGCCCTTGCCCAGACCCTGGTCATTTTCTCTCCAGCCAAGCTGGCTGCCTTGTGGTTCCCAGAGCACCAGCGAGCTACGGCCAACATGCTGGCCACCATGTGTGAGTTCCCAGGGAGGGAGGCCACCTGCCTGTGTTTACCCCGGGCCCCTTCTGGCTCCAAGCGCAGATCCTTGGCTCCCCGGGCTCTCTGGCCAGGGTGCAGAGCTTGGGCCTGGAAGGTTCTGCCTGTGGGCTGGCAGTGAGGCCGGCCACACACAGCTGATGTGTTTCCCTGTGCCTCTGCCCACCCAGCGAACCCCCTGGGCATCCTTGTGGCCAACGTGCTGTCCCCCGCACTGGTCAAGAAGGGCGAGGACATTCCACTAATGGTGAGGGTCAGGAGGTGCCCTTGCGTGGCGTGTGTGGCGTGTGTGCATGCACGTCTGTGTGGTCCTGTGCCCAAGTGTGTCTGTCCCTGTGCCTGTGTGATTTATTTTTCTGAGGAGTCTTGCTCTGCCACCCAGGCTGGAGTGCAGTGGCTGGATCTCGGCTCCATGCAACCTCTGCCTCCTGGGTTTAAGCAGTTCTCCTGCATCATCCTCGAGAGTAGCTGGGATTGCAGGTGAATGCCACCACACTCAGCTAATTATATTTTTGTACTTTTAGTAGAGATGGGGTTTCACCATGTTGGCCAGGTTGCTCTCAAACTCCTGACCTTGTGATCTGCCCACCTTGGCCTTGCAAAGTGCTGGGATTACAGGCATGAGCCGCTGCGCCTAGCCAGTGTGTGATATTTCTGTGTGTGCCTGTGTGTATTGGGTGTATGTGTTGTGAGCGGTGTGTCTCTGTTCTTGTGCCCGTGTGTGGTGTGTCTGTGTGTGCTGAGTGTGTGGTATGTGTGCATTTGTGTCTGTGCACATATGTAGTATGTGCCTGTGTGTGTTGTGTGGTGTATGTGCACATGTGTCTGTGTCTGTACACATGCATAGTATGTGCTTGTGTGTGTTGAGTGTGTGGTGTGTGCATCTGCTGTGTGTGCACGTGTATTGTGTGTCTGTGTGCATTGTGTGTGGTGTGCATGTGTCTGTGCACATGCATAGTGTGCCTGTGTGTGTTGTGTGGTGTGTGTGCACATGTCTACACATGCATAGTGTGTGCCTGTGTGTGTTGTGTGGTGTGTGCATGTGTCTGTGTATGCACATGTGTATTGCGTCTGTGTGTATTGTGTGTGGTGTGTGTGCATGTGTGTGCACATGTGTGTGCCTGTGTTGTGTGTGTGTGCACATGTGTCTGTGTTTGTGCACATGTGTAGTGTGTGCCTGTGTGTGTTGTGTGGTGTGTGCATGTGTCTGTGTGTGCACATGTGTATTGTGTGCCTGTGTGTATTGTGTGTGGTGTGTGTGCATGTGTCTGTGTGTCTGTGCACATGCGCAGTGTGTGCCTGTGTGTGTTGTGTGTGGTGTGTGCATGTGTCTGTGTGTCTGTGCACACACATAGTGTGTGCCTGTGTGTGTTGAGTGTGTGGTGTGTGCATGTGTCTGTGTGTGCACATGTGTATTGTGTGTCTGTGCATTGTGTCTGTGTGTCTGTGCACATGTGTAGTGTGTGCCTGTGTGTGTTGAGTGTGTGGTGTGTGCATGTGTCTGTGCACATGTGTAGTGTGTCTGTATGTACTGTGTCTGTGTCTGTGCACAGGCGTAGTGTGTGCCTGTGTGTGTTCATGCATGTGCATTGGGTGTGTGTGGTATGTCTGTGCTTGTGCATATGTATTGAGTGTGCGCACGTGTTCATGTGTGTGCACATGTGTGCCTCTGCACCCACCTGTGTCTGTGTGTTCAGGCCTGTCAGGGGACTGTGTACCCAGCAGTGAGATGTGTCTGGAGCTTGGGGGTGCCAAGCTAACATTGGCCGGGAGGGTGCCACCTGTGGCAGGCGGGGCTGCGGTGTGCGGGTGCCAGTCTGTGTGGTCACTATGCACACGCACACCCTCCCCAGCTTGGTGTCTATGCCATTCCTGCTGGCGTCGCCTGCCTGCTATCCACCACCTGCCTCTGGGAGAGCGTGCCCCCCACCCCGCCCTCTGCTGGGGCCGCCAGCTCCACCTCGGAGAAGTTCCTGGACGGGCTCAAACTGGTCAGTGCTTCGGGATCCCTGGGTGGGGTGGATTTGGGGGCAGGGGCAGAAGGCCGAGGAGGGGTGGAGTTGGGAAGGGCCCCCAGGCTCTGGGGCTGAGAGGCTCTTTCCTCGCAGCTCGTGAGGAACAAGGCCTATGTCATCCTGGCTGTGTGTTTTGGGGGAGGCATCGGGATCTTCTCCAGCTTCTCAGCCCTCCTGGAGCAGATCCTCTGTGCGAGTGGCTACTCCAGCGTGAGCCCTGCCCCACCACAGGGGCTCTGCCTTTGTCGCCCGCCCTGTGTGGCCGCAGAGTCACTGCAGCCTCTGGGGTGCTTTGTGTCCGACCCTGGTGGGGCCACATGAACACCCTCCTGTGCTGTGGGCCTCTCAAGATGCCGTGTGGGACGCTGTGTCCAAAGGTGGTGGGCACAGCTTCAGCTGACAGTGTTCTGTGGATGGGAAGGTGGGGGCCCCGGGGCTCCCAGTGCCCCTTCCCCACAAGTCCCCCCTGGGGTGTGCAGGGCAGGGCCACCTTCTGGCATCCAGACATGCAGCAGGAGGGCCTTGCTCTGCTCACACATCTCCGGCTGCCCTCTGCCCTCTGGCATCAGTGCCTGCTGTAGGATTGGGGGCACGCTTCCACCTTGGCCACAGGCACCCCAGGGAACCTCTGCGGTGACAGACGCCTCCCTTCAGCCATTGCTTTGCTCTGGGGTGGGGCGGGGACACAGGGCAGGAACCCCCACCCCGGCAGGCAGCCAGCGGTGTGGCTGGAGCCTCTGTGGCCGGGCCTGGGCCTTGGGGACAGCGCATGGCCTCACCCTGAGCCCCCTACCCTGACGGTGTGCCCTGAAGATAACGCGGCCTCTCAGGGCCGGCCCTTCCCCACCTCCTCCAGGGCTTTTCCGGGCTCTGTGGAGCTCTCTTCATCGTGTTCGGGATCCTGGGCGCACTGGCTCTTGGCCTCTACGTGGACCGGACCAAGCACTTCACCGAGGCCACCAAGATCAGCCTGTGCCTGACCTCTCTGGCCTGCGTGGCCTTTGCCCTGGTGAGGGGCTCCTCAAGCCAAGACCACCCTGAGGGAGGTGGGTGGGTGGTGAGGCTGGGAGCAGGCGGTTGTCAGCTTGGCTGGAACAGAGGTCTGGACTCTCTCAGGCCTGGCCTTGGCCAGCCGGGCTGGCCCATGGGTGGGATGGATTCTCCTGCCCTGCACCCTGAGAAGCCAGGTCCAGTTCTGATGGCCACTCCCCCACCCCACCTGTCTGCCGGCCATTCCGCTGTCCCCAGGTGTCCCGGCTGCAGGGACAGACCCTCACCCTGGCCACCACCTGCTCGCTGCTCGGGCTCTTTGGCTTCTCGGTGGCCCCCGTGGCCACAGAGCTGGCGGTGGAGTGCTCCTTCCCCGTGGGCGAGGGGGCTGCCGCGGGCCTGGTCTTTGTGCTGGGGTGAGTGTCCATCTGCCCCTGCTGTACCCCTGAGACACTCCCTTTGCTTCACCCCTACCCCCCTGGGGTGGCACCATGTGGCCCAGGCCCCTTTTCAGGGAGGTGGGATCGTGCCTGCTCTGGTAGAAGGTTCTGAGCACCTGCTGTGTGCGGGCTGGGCCAGCTGATGGGCCTCTGCTGACTGAGCTGCGTGCTGCCTTCTGGAGGGTGGTGGCACAAGGGACAGTCCTGATGTCAACCCTTCCTAAAGTAGTACCTGGCTCCGAGGGGTGGGCAGTGCAGCAGTGGGGGGCTGAGGGGGCAAGCAGTGCAGTGGGGGGGATGAGGGGGTGGGCCGTGCAGTAGAGAAGGGCTGAGGGGGTGGGCAGTGCAGTGGAGGGGGGCTGAGGGGGTGGGCAGTGCAGTGGAGGGGGGCTGAGGGGGTGGTCAGTTCAGTGGAGGGGGGCTGAGGGGGTGGGCAGTGCAGTGGAGGGGGGCTGAGTGGGTGGGCAGTGCAGTGGAGGGGGCTGAGGGGGTGGGCAGTGCAGTGGGGGGCTGAGGGGGTGGGCAGTGCAGTGGGGGGACTGAGGGGATGGGCAGTGCAGTGGAGGGGCGAAGAGGGGTGGGCAGTGAAGTGGGAGGGGGGCTGAGGGGGTGGCAGTGCAGTGGGAGGGGGCTGAGGGGGTGGGCAGTGCAGTAGGGGGCTGAGGAGGTGGGCAGTGCAGTGGGGGGTTGAGGGGGTGGGCAGTGCAGTGGGAGGGAGGCTGAGGGGGTGGGCAGTGTGGTGGGGGGCTGAGGAGGTGGGCAGTACAGTGGGAGGGGGCTGAGGAGGTGGGCAGTACAGTGGGAGGGGGCTGAGGGGGTGGGCAGTGCAGTGGGAGGGGGGCTGAGGGGGTGGGCAGTGCAGTGGAGGGAGCTGAGGGGGTGGGCAGTGCACTGGGGGGTTGAGTGGGTGGGCAGTGCAGTGGGAGGGGGGCTGAGAGGGTGGGCAGTGCAGTGGAGGGGGAAGATGGGGTGGGCAGTGCAGTGGGAGAGGGCTGAGGGGGTGGGCAGTGCAGTGGGGGGCTGAGGAGGTGGGCAGTGCAGTGGAGGGGGGAAGAGGGGATGGGCAGTGCAGTGAGAGGGGGCTGAGGGTGTGGGCAGTGCAGTGGGGGGCTGAGGGGGTGGGCAGTGCAGTGGAGGGGGGAAGAGGGGGTGGGCAGTGCAGTGAGGGGGGCTGAGGGTGTGGGCAGTGCAGTGGGGGGCTGAGGGTGTGGGCAGTGCAGTGGAGGGGGGAAGAGGGGGTGGGCAGTGCAGTGAGAGGGGGCTGAGGGGGTGGGCAGTGCAGTGGAGGGCTGAGGGGGTGGGCAGTGCAGTGGAGGGGGCTGAGGGGTGGGCAGTGCAGTGGGGTATTGAGGGGGTGGGCAGTGCAGTGGTGGGCTGAGGGGGTGGGCAGTGCAGTGGGAGGCTGAGTGGTGGGCAGTGCTGTGGAGGGTGCTGAGGGTTGGGCAGTGCAGTGGGGGGCTGAGAGGGTGGGCAGTGCAGTGGAGGGGGCTGAGGGGTGGGCAGTGTAGTGGGGGGTTGAGGAGGTGGGCAGTGCAGTGGGGGGGCTGAGGGGGTGGGCAGTGCAGTGGAGGGCTGAGGGGGTGGGCAGTGCAGCCTTCGTGGGGGCTGAGGGCCTTGTGTGTCCAGGCAGGCTGAGGGCATGCTCATCATGATGGTGATGACGGCACTGACTGTGCGACGCTCGGAGCCGTCCTTCTCCACCTGTGTGCATGGGGAGGATCCACTTGACTGGACAGGTGAGCCCCACACCGGGAGTCCTCGGGGAACAGGACAGGTGAGCTCCACGCGGGGAGTCCCGGGGGAACAGGACAGGTGAGCCCCAGGCGGGCAGTCCCGGGGGAACAGGACAGGTGAGTCCCACACGGGGAGTCCAGGGGGAACAGGACAAGTGAGTCCCACACGGGGAGTCCAGGGGGAACAGGACAGGTGAGCCCCACACTGGGAGTCCCGGGGGAACAGGACAGGTGAGTCCCACATTGGGAGTCCTGGGGAACAGGACAGGTGAGCCAGGACAGGTGTGGCAGAGATCAGAGGTGGGGCTGGCACACTCATGTCTCAGACCCTTTGCTGGTGACCTCAGAGCTCCCAGCTCTCAGGACCTGGCTCTGCAAACACCTCTGGGGGCTGTCAGGGGCTGGGGGTGGGCTCTCTGGGGTCAGTCTTTGGTCAGGGGTGGTGGGGTCACCATGGGCCAGCATTGGGTTCTGGCCATCTGTGGCCCCGGGGCATGGCTGTGGGGACAGCTGTGCCATGTATCCCCAGTGTCCCTGCTGCTGATGGCCGGCCTCTGCACCCTCTTCAGCTGCATTGTGGTGCTCTTCTTCCACACCCCATACCGGCGCCTGCAGGCCGAGTCCGGCGGGTGCCCTGCCACCCAGAACGCCTGCCCAGGCGCTGAGGACCGAGCGTGCCCCCCAGAAGCCACCGCTTGAGGCCCCAGCGTGGCACTCCCAGCTTGGAAGCTGCAAGAAGCTTCCCTGGACCCTGCCTCGTCCTCCCAGAGCCCCAGAGCCCGGGCGCGTGAAGGGGAGGCAGGCTTGGTAGCCACGGGCTGCGGGCTGCGCCGGCCCCGCCAGAAAGCTGGGTGCACACGGGACGCGTGGGAGGGCCCCCGAGGCTGATGCGTGTCTGAGAGAGAGGGCGACTGCTGTGTGGACGAGGACCAGGCAGGCCCCGTGTGTGGACGCGGACCACAGAGGACGCTGTGTGGACCCGGACCGGGCAGGGCGGCCGTGAGCAGCGCAGACTCAGGCCCGGGATGGACGGAGAGGGCGCGGGACGGTGTGGGGTCCTGGGCGCAGGGCGGCAACTCCGGAGCGCACGGGATGTGGCCTCGCTAGAGGGTCCAGAAGCCCCCAGCCCCTGCCCTGCCCCCCCAGTGACCCCCGCGAGTGGACTCGGACTCGCAAGCAGGGCCCAGCGTCCAGGTTTATTAGGGGGCCGCGCCTCACTCCTCCTTCTCCTCCCCGTGGGTGATCACGTAGCTCAGCGCCTTGTAGTCCAGGTTGCCCGCGGCGTCGATGGAGGCGAACTGGAACATCTGGTCCACCTGCCGCGGGGATGCGGGCGGCGCTCAGGCCGGTGCGGGGGCGGGGGGCTTCCTGCGGACGAATTACAGGCGCGAACCCCCAGCGGCCGGTGTGGTTTCTGCGCCGGGGGAGGTGGAACAGGGGGCTGGGCGGTGCCGGGGGCGGCGGCGGCTGCGGCCCCAGCCTGGGTCCAGGCGTCGGGCTTGGGCCCTTCAGCAGCGTCGGGGAGGACCGTGTGGGATGTGGCCGGGACGGGGGTTCTGGCAGGTGGCGCTGGGGCTGGAAGCGGGGGTCGAGGGTCGGGGGTGGGGGTGGGGGTGGCTGCGGGAGGGCTTAGATGTGAGCCCCGCCCCTCAGGCCAGGACGGACGCTCCGGCCGCTGACCCCGGCCTCAAACAGGCACTTCGGGAGCCCCTCCCCCGCCTGTCTGCTGTCCTGGGTCCCACCGCCGGACTGCAGCCGCTCCGGCCCCGCGACCCCCCACCCAGCTGACCCCGGGAGCCCTGCCCTCCCCTCCTGGGCTTGGCAGAGGCCTGTGCGAGCAGGGGAGCGGGGCGCCAGACCTCATCCGCCGTCATCTTGTCAGCCTGGGACATCAGTAGACGCTTGATGCTGAGGACCAGGAAAGGGGGTCAGGGGATCAGTGCGGCCTGATGTGGAGGCGCAGGAGCCTCCTCGGTAGGGCTCAGGTGCTCTAGGGGCCCCCACAGTGCACCTGCTCATCACACTCCCATCCTTACCTCACCTGCACCTGCTCACCGCACTCCCACCCTTCCCCCACACTGACCTGCTCACCGCACTCCCACCCTTCCCCCACACTGCACCTGCTCACCGCACTTCCGCCCTTCCCCCACACTGCACCTGCTCACCGCACTCCCGTCCTTACCTCACCTGCACCTGCTCACCGCACTCCCGTCCTTACCTCACCTGCACCTGCTCACCGCACTCCCGTCCTTACCTCACCTGCACCTGCTCACCGCACTCCCGCCCTTCCCCCACACTGACCTGCTCACCGCACTCCCACCCTTCCCCCACACTGCACCTGCTCACCGCACTTCCGCCCTTCCCCCACACTGACCTGCTCACCGCACTCCCACCCTTCCCCCACACTGCACCTGCTCACCGCACTTCCGCCCTTCCCCCACACTGCACCTGCTCACCGCACTCCCACCCTTCCCCCACACTGCACCTGCTCACCGCACTCCCGTCCTTACCTCACCTGCACCTGCTCACCGCACTCCCGTCCTTCCCCCACGCTGCACCTGCTCACCGCACTCCCACCCTTCCCCCACACTGCACCTGCTCACCGCACTCCCGTCCTTACCTCACCTGCACCTGCTCACCGCACTCCCGTCCTTCCCCCACGCTGCACCTGCTCACCGCACTCCCACCCTTCCCCCACACTGCACCTGCTCACCGCACTCCCAGCACTCCCACCCTGCCCGCAGGCTGCACCTGCTCACCACACTCCCGCCCTTCCCCCACACTGGGCAGGTCCCTTCCCAACAACATTCAGGGGTGATCACTGCTGGGCAGGGGCAGCTGGGGGGCCACTGATGGGGACAGAGCCTGAGGGAAGTTACATGCAAGTGTCTGGCACATTCTCAGCACCTGGCAGGAGCTGAGATGGCGGAGTGGCCTGAGTGGAAGTGCCCCCAGGCACTGGCAGCTGGTTGCTGCAGTGGGCAAGGTTGCCCCCCCCCCACACTCAGCTGGGATCCTGGGTTGCTCCTGATGACCCTGAAGTTGGTCAGAGGTGGAGAGGTGGGCTTGTTGTCTGGTGGCTGACTGTGTCTTTTGGGGCAGGGTGGGGACCCCCAGAGGCCGGGCTGCCCTACCCGAGCCGGACACTCACTACTCCTTGTTGATTTTCCCTTTCCCATCCGGGTCCAGCATCTTGAAGGCGTTTAGAATGGTCTCCTCTGCGTCGGTACCTGCCACAAATGTGCCTTCAGCCCTGGGCTTCCGAGTCACAGTCTTGCTGCAGCTGCCAAGGGCAGATGGCAGGAGGCCGGACCCCTTCTCCCGGGCCTCCCAGCCTCTGCCACAAGGTGCTCTCTGCCTGAAGGCCTTCTCCAATCCTGACCCCTGGGGGGCTTGTTGGGCACTTCTGCCCTGGGGTGTAATGACTTTCACAGTGCCCAGGGTCAGCCCAAGCCTGGAGCTGGGGGTGAGTGGCGACCGAGGTGCCCAACGGTGGGTCAGACGGCGTGTGGGGCAGGAGTGGGGCCTGCGGACCTGAGTGCACGGCTCTGATGCGGCTGATGGGGCCCCACAGCTGTTGGCTTCCAGAGCACCAGGCCCTAGGGCTTCTCCAGAGATTGGAAAAGAGAGATTTTTATTTATTTTTTGTGAGACGGAGTCTCACACTATGGCCTGGGCTGGAGTGCAGTCCAGCTCACTGGATTGGAGTGAGATCTCAGCTCACTGCAACCTCCGCCTCCTTCAAGTGGTTCTCCTGCCTCAGCCTCCCAAGTAGCTGGGATTACAGGCACGCACCACCATGCCCGGCTAATTTTTTTTTGTTTTTTATTTTTAGTAGAGATGGGGTTTCACCCTGTTGGCCAGGATGGTCTCAGACTGCTGACCTCAGGTGATTCATCCACCTTGGCCTCCCAAAGTGCTGGAATTACAGACATGAGCCACCGCAACCAGCCGGAAAAGGATTTTTATGTGAAACGTCTGGATCTCTAAGTGTCAGGAATTAGCTAGGAGGGCAGGGCGCGCCCCAGCGGTGCTCACCATTCAGCTTTTCCCCGAACAGGTTGAGAAACATGGTGAAGTTGATGGGCCCCGAGGCCTCTTTGAGCATGGCGTCCAGCTCGTCGTCCTTTACGTTAGTCTTGCCTGTCACAGACTCGGGGAGTCACGGGGCAGGGCCTGTTGCTGCATTTGCTGTCCCCCCAGCAGGTGACTCCAGCACCAGACCAGGTTGGTAGATGGGAGGGGTGGGGAGGGAGCAGGAAGGAGGAGTTGGCTCCGGCGTGTGGGGCAGGGGCTGCGTCTGACTGTGTTCACTTTGCCCCAAACCCTGAGCCCCAGGACTAAGTGCTGAAGAAGGAGGTGACACAGAGCTCAGGAAGGTGCTGGGAGCTGCTGTTCTCCTTACTTTGGTGAAAGCAGGGTCGGGAGGAAAGTGAGGCACTTTCAACCCTCCCACCCCAAGGAGAAATCACTCCCCAGCTCCCAGGGCAGGACTGAAGCCCCATGCCCTACTGCCTCTGGCCAGAGGCAGCTGCTCGGAGCAGAACATCCCACAGGGAGAACTGAGGCTGGGGAGGGCAGGGTCCCCACCGTACTTGGGCTGCGCTGCGGAGGCTGGGCATGGTTTCCACTCCCCCCGCCCCAGCTCTGGGTCTGGCTGGGCAGGGTCTCCAGGCCCTCCCCACCCCCAGCTCTGTGATCTGGCCCAGCAGAGTCCCCACACTCTTTGTCAGCTCTGTGGTTCAGCTGGCAGTTTCTGCACACCCTCTGTCAGCTCTGTGGTCCAGCTTGGGGGCAAGCTGCCTGGCTGCCTGTGGCATCCCACTGGCACCAACCCCTCCCTGGAGTTGCCCAAAGTCCACTCCAAGTTTCCAGGTGTGGGCTATACCACCCACCCTGTCTCACCCTGGGATGCTCCCTGCCAGCTCTGATGGAACCAAGGGAGGCCAGGGCCATCCCCTCGCAGCCTCAGGGCCCTGGATCCACTTGAGGAGGAGGGGCCAGGGCATCTGGGGCTGGAGGATGTTCTGTGTTCACCTCCAAGGGCTGAGGTGTTCTGCCTGGGTACCTACCCAGGGAGGCATAGGTGTCCTTCAGGTCCTCCTTATCAATGAAGCCGTCTCGGTTCTGATCCATGAGTGTGAACGCCTGGGAACCGAGGCCGGGGCTGCTGTGCTGCTGGCCCAGCTGGGCTCTGCCCCTGCCCACTGCTCCCGGCTCCTCAGCACTCTGAGTGAGGACAGGGGCTCCCAGTGAGGCAGGAAAGTCTCACCTCCTTGAACTCCTGGATCTGAGTCTGCTCGAAGTTGGAGAAGACGTTGGATGATGCCCTTTGGGCCCGGAGGGCCCCCCCTTCCTTCTTCTTGGTCTTCCTGCTGGCCTGCGAAGGGAGCACCACGGTGAGGAAACCCTCCAGGGCACCCGGAGTTTTGAGAGACTTAACTCAGATGAAGGGTGGACCTCAGCCCTGGGGCTGGAGGGGGCCACACTGAGGAGCACACCGGCCTCAAGCCTGGGCAGCTGGGTGGGGGTGGGGAGGCAGTGACTGCAGGTGTCTAGCTTCAGCACAGGGAGTCGCGGAGGGACAGTGGCTCCCAGATGCCCACGGAGCACAGGGGTCAGGGTTCCTGGTCCAGCAGCAGCAGCTCAGCCTCTGAAGGCTTGAGGGGCAAGTGGACTCTGGGTGGGCGTGTTCTGGGTACCGGGATTTCGTGAAGGCCGGGAACCCCCTCATCCTGCCTCTGACTCTCACCAGGGCAGAAGCATGTACCTCCTACCACACAAAACATGCCCATACCTGCACGGTCTCACACACACACACACACACACACACACACACACACGCTCATACACACCTTCACATATGCACACACAGCACACAGCCACACCTGCATGGTCACACACATGCACATATGAACACAAAACACACGCCCACATCTGAACTACACACTGCATGATCACCCACGCACATACACACGCTTGTGCATACACACATGCATACACAGCATACCCACGCCTGACTCACACTGCATGATCACACGCACATACACACGCTCACATATGCACATATACACATTGCACATATACACTCATGCATATGTGAGTGTGTGGAGTGCACATAAGCATGAGTGTATATGCGTATATGTGCATGTGTGTGAGTGCACACACTCACACATGCACATATACACACATAGCACATGCCCACACCTGTATAGTCACACACACTCACACACACATGCACACACACATGCACAGGCACGCCCAGGCTCTTGTCTGTGCACACGCACACACATACGGCACAGCTCACACTTACACATGCCTGCCCCAGGCCTGCATGGCGGACTGCTTACCATGCCTGGTTCTGCCTGCTTCAATGCGTCTGCCTGGAGTGTTGGGTCTTGCCCATCTTAAGCTCCTGCTTGGTCCCCCAGGGCAGCTCGGACTCTGGCTGCCACTCCCTACAAGGACAGGCTTGGGGCCACCCCAGGGGACTGGACAACTGCAGAGTGAGCTTTGGCAGCCCAGCAGTGGATCATACCCTTGCCCTGCCCCACCCCACAAGGCTCCCAGCTCCCCCCAGGCACCTCTGGCCAGGACTACTTCCCACCCCACATTCCCTTGCGTCTGGGGAGGCTTTGCTCTCCCAAGGATTCTGGGTGTCACCAGGGCCACCTGCACATGCTCTCGGCCGGCAGCCTGGGCACCCTGGAACTGTAGGAGCCAGAGGAAGGGGCATCTTTTCTAGATTTGCACAAAGCTGCTGTGGGTGACTGCAGCTGGTCACCAAGCCTATGTCAAGCACACTGTGTGTCGGGGTGTCCACGCCTCTCCCTGCCTCGGTGGCAGAAAAGTCAGTCCATAGCCCTGGCCCTGGGACCACCTCTTCTGACCTCGTGGCTGGGAGGGAGCTCCTTGCGTGGCCCATGGGTGCTGACATTTCTGGGAACTTGGAGATGGCCAGGCTGCTCAGATGGGCCAGGATGGGGCCGCCAGGACCCTGAGTCTGCTCTTCCCCCTATAACATGGCCTCGGGGGCACAGTCTGGGGGAGGGACCTGGCCTGGCGTCTCTTGGTGGTACCAGACGTCAGAGGCCACCTCAGGGTTGGAATCCAGATGTCCCGGTCCAAGGGGTGGGAGGAGGGTCGGCAGGCCAAGCAGAATCAAGGAGGAGGCCTGCAGGCTGAGCAGGTAACAAGGTCTCGGAGCCCCCAGGCCTGCATCTGGGCGGGAGGCAGCAGGCAGTAGGACTCAGGGCAGCTGCCCCTTTGGGTTGCAGGGGCAGGGGTGGCAGTGTGTGCAGCCACAGCAGCCAGGTAGGGGCCCTGGGGCGCCACCGTGTCTGCAAAGCTAAGAAGACAGGTGCCACTTGCAGTCCTGAGTGGAGGTCCTACCTCCTGAGGGACGCATTCACAGTCGGTGTCCCCTGAGGGGACAGGGCCAGCGGCCTCATGCAGCTCAGACGCCTGAGGTTGAGGACCCTGGGAGGCATAACCTACCCAGGAGAGAGCTGGGGCAGCCTGCAAGGGGCAAATGTCTGAGCAGGTTTGGGAACCTGGGGCTGGGAGCAAGGGCCGTGGCATCCCCTTCTCCCAGTCCAGTGAGGTCTGGGTGTGACTCCAAGGGGCACTGCTGGGCTGCAAGAGTGGAGAGAACCACACCCAAGGGGAAAACATGGTTGGGAGCCCCCTCCCACCCCGAGGCCACCAGGAATGTGAGAAGGGCTGTGGAGCCCCCTGCAGAGGTGTCCCAGGCCACTGGAGTCTGAGCACATCGCTAAAGATAGCAGCGGAGCCTGAGCCGGGGGAGTATCGGCTTCTACACTGACACCTGACAGGACAGCTGCAGAGGCCCCGGTGGGTGGTGTCCTGAGCCAGGTGGGACCTCCGCCCCCACTAAGCCCCGGAAAGGACCCTGAGCAAAGGCAGGCTCCATTGGCTTCAGAGGGTCTTCCCTGGGCAGTGTGTGTGCCCAAGTGTGTTTTCTCTGTTGGTGGCCTACCCCGCCCCGCCTCCAGTGGCAGCTGCTGGTATGTCTCCCTCACCCCCAACCTTGGGCCCCAGAGACACTTATTTTTGATTCTGGAAGCAGGAGTTGCTGAGGAGTCTAGTTTATTTTAAAATCCAGTGAAGGGAAAACCCATTGTCCCCTGAGGGCACCTGCCCCAGCCAAAGGAGGGGCTTTATGGGGCCAGGATGGTTCTGTGCCTTGTGGATCCAGCGTGCACCTGCGCCGTCCTCAGCGAGCAGTGGGAGGCGCTGGGGTTTGCTTCTGGCCCCCTGAAGACGGCTCAGGCAGAGGCTTCAGCCAGGAGTCTTCAGGGGCTCCAGGGCACCTCACAGAAGCTGGAGAAAAGATCGGGTGGCCCCAAAAAGGTCCCCAACCTTTTTGGCACCTGGGACCGTTTCATGGAGGGCCATTCTTCCGTGTGTGGGAGGGTATGGGGAAGGTTTTGGGATGAAACTGTTCCACCTCATTTCACCAGGCATTATATTCTCATAAAGAGCGCGCGACCCAGATCCTTGGAGTTCGCAGTTCGCAATAGGGCTCAAGCTCCTATGGGAATCTAATGCGGAGGCTGATCTGGCGGCGGGGGACTCGGCGGCCTTGCTACCTCCTCGCTCCTCACCTCGTGCTGTGCGGCCCGGTTCCTAACCGGCCACAAACCGCTACCGGTCCGCGGCCCTATAGGATCGGCCTCGGTATCCCCAGCCCAGGAAACAGCTCAGTGATTTCCCGGCTTCTCAGCCAGAGAGGCCCAGAGCCTGGACCCCAGAGCAAGCCAGGAGAGGCCAGAGGCGGCTCAGAACGTCTCCCCATGCGGGCGAGGACCTGGAGTTTGTGAGGCTTCGCCTTAGCGGGGCCCCAGCCGCGGTTCTCCGGTTGCTTCTGCCTGCAGCCGCGCAGGGCCGGGAGACTGGGACACAGGAGGCCTTGCCTCGCTGCTAAAGGGGGCCCGTGGTGGCCCGGCACGAGAGGCAGGGCTGCCGCCAGGAAGACCCAGGACGTGGGAGCGGCAAGGCTCCCCACCGACTGCAGGCCTGGTGTCCACCGGGCTGGCGGGTCAGCACCTCGGGCACAGGGGGAGCTGCCTGGGACGTGGACAGGGGCCAGCAGAGACCACCAGTGTGGGCTCAGTGGTCCCCAGGCCTGGGCCTCGGTGGGCCTCGGAGCTCGGGGCTGCGGAGTCCTGAGGGCTGGCGTCGGCGGCTGGTCTTCCCCAGCCCCTCCTCGGGACGGAAGTGATGGGGGATCCTCGGGGACAGGCGGGTGGCCCGGTGCTCCCAGGCACGGCAGCCACAGGAAAGGGGCCTGGAGGCCACTGCCCTGCCCGGGAAGGGACCTGCCCCGGAGCCGCCTGCGCTCGGCTCACGCTCGGCTCCAGCGACCCCCAGCTCCCGGCCCAGGCCGCCCTCAGGTGGGCGCGGGCCGCGGGGCTGGACCCGCCCGAGCCGCCCCGATCTCAGGCCCCGGACGCGCCGCGCAGGAGGGCAGAGTACGCCCGGGTCCGGGATCTCGGGTGTGGATCCCCGGCCCCACGGAGGAAGGAGACCCCGGCCCACAGCGCGCAGACCCCGCCGCATGCAGCAACCGCGCAGGCGCAGCCGGAGGTCGTCGCGCACGCCCCAGCTCGTGTGCGCCTGCGCACCATGTGATGTCATCGCCGCGCCGGAGGTCTCAGTCACCCTCCGGCCGCCAGGGGCGCTCCCCGCCTCCGCTCCCTCGTAGCTAACAGCGCATGCGTCCGCCCAGCTCTCTCTGCGACAACGGCCTTTTGCGGGCTCGTCTGGCGTCCTCCCCGGTCTGCGGGTTGTGCTTCCGGTGCGAAGGTCACGGACAAGATGGTGCCGCCGGTGCAGGTCTCTCCGCTCATCAAGGTGATTCAGGCTTCGCAGCCGCCGTCCAATGCCTTGGTCCCCTCGTGTCCCTCCCCCCAGCTCCGACCCTGCGGGCTGCGACCCTCGACCCCCTCCCCTCTCAAGATTCCCGCCTGGCGACCCGACCCCCACACCTGCGATCTCTGCCCCGCGACCCCACCCCGTCTCCTCCCGCGACCCCTGCCCCGCGAGCCCGGTCCCCCGCCGCCTCTGACCGTCCTCTCTCGCAGCTCGGCCGCTACTCTTTCTTGTTCCTCGGCATGACCTATGGAGCCACGCGCTACAGTGAGTGACCGCGGGCGGGGCCGGGGCGGGGTCTCCTCGGCTTTCCTGGGGAGCTGCTGTGCCGTTCGGTGAACTCCGGCCCTGGAAGCGGGGCTGGGACGGATGCGAGGATGCAGGACCGTGTCCTCCACCGAGCGTGGCCCCGAGAGCGCGGCGGGGAGGTCGGGCTGACTGGGAATCGGCTCACTCAAAGCTCAGACTTCTGAGGCCCGGGCAGGGGACTCGAAAACGGCTGCTGCTTGGTGCAAACGGGTGCTGAGTGGGAGTTGGAGTGCTGAGGTCTGGCGGGAGGCAGTCCCTGTTTGCAGAGGACGAGTGAGCCAGTGCGTGAGGGGCGGGGCAGCAGGGACCCTGTAGCCTCTGGGTTGGACCCTTTAGGGTAAAGGTCAGGCCTTGACCGCATTGACATAAAGAGAGGGGCGGCAGGTGCGTCTGGTTCACAGCGCTGAAGATACCTTGACCTGTGGACTCAGTTCCTTTCAAGCAGCACTTCCAGTGAAGTTCATTCCCTGAAACAGGATACCTAAAACCTCGGGCAGAAGAGGAGAGGAGGATAGAGGCGGAGGAGAAGAAGAAGCAGGATGAACTGAAACGGATTGCCAAAGAATTGGCAGAAGGTACGCGAGACACTGGCTCTTATACGTTGTCCCTGTCAGGTTTGTGCAGGGATAGGGAAAATGGAGGAGGACATTTAAGCAGAGCGAAGTAGATGTGGATTGTTTTAAAATGGGGAAGCTGGCCGGGCAAGGTGGCCCACACTTTGGGAGGCTCAGGTGGGCAGATCACCTTAGGTCAGGAGTTCAAGACCATCCTGATCAACATGGTGAAACCCCATCTCTACAAAAATTAGCTGGGAATGGCTGGGTGCCGGTGGCTCACACCTGTAATCCTCGCACTTTGGAAGGCTGAGACAGGCAGATTGCCTGAGCTCAGGAGTTCAAGATTAGTCTGGGCAAGATGGTGAAACCTCATCTCTACTAAAATACAAAAAATCAGCTAGATGTGGTGGTGGGCGCTTGTAATTCCAGCTACTCAGGAGGCTGATCCATGAGAAATTGCTCGAACCTGGGAGGTAGAGGTTGCAGTGAGCTGAGATCATGCCACTGCACTCCAGCCTGGGCAGCAAAGCAAAACTCTGTCTAAAAAAAAAAAACCTAGCCATGCATATGGCAGGTACATATAATCCCAGCTACTCAGGAGGCTGAGGTGGGAGAATGACTTAAATCTGGGAGGTAGAGGTTGCAGCGAGTCGAGATCTCACCATTGCACTCCAGCCTGGGTGACAGAGCCAGACTCTGTCTCAAAAAACAAAAAACAACTGGGAAGCTGAAGTGAACTTTTTAGGTTTCCTGAGTGTAGTAACTTGTGGTTTTCTTCTAACCTTCCAGCCCAAGAGGACAGCATATTTAAATGAGTGACCCTCCCAGCCTCTCTTGGGAGCAGCAGCAGATGAATAAAACTTCCTGTGTTGTACTGTATTGCAGCTTCTTCTCATTTGCTGTCGCTGGTTGTCCAATTCCTAGACTCAAGCTTGGTCCATCTTCCAGTTCACGTTGGGTGGAAGACAGGAAGGGGGTTTCTAAAGAATTAATCCATGTCGCCCATCACAGACCCAGAATGCGTCATACAAACACAGCAGGAAGGACAGACACCCGCTGCCTGTTCTGTCTGGGGCATCTGGGAGGGAATCCTCAAAGGTTGTCTGTAATGGAGTCGGTCAGCTGGGGGTCCTCATGGGGACTGGGTTGTTTTGATTCTGAGTTCTAGACTGCTGCTGTCAGCAGCCCCGACCCCTGGATAGGGAGGGAAGGGCACTGGCTGATGCCCTTACAGTTGGGAAGCTGGATCCTCCACGCTCACCCTCGCCTCCACCTAGCACTTCACATATTCTCCCTTTGATCCCAGGAGGTGGCCAGTTCAGACCTGAGACTAAAGTCCAGCGATGTGACCTCCTGGGGACAAGGCCTGAGTGCTGTTGGAGCTCTGTTCAGGGATGGGGGCCTGTGGTAGTGCTGTTGGAGCTGTTCAGGTGGGGGTGGTGGTGGTGGTGGTCTGTGGTGCCTGAGGGGCTTCCCTCCCCTGGAGGCTTCCTGGGCTTCTCACCCCTCCTGGCTGTGAGCTTGCCAATGACCCTAACCCTTGGCCTGGTGATTTGTATTGGATAGACTGAATGGATAGCCTGAATTTGCTTCATTCTAATTATGTGCCTTGAGCAATCTAGGCTTATGAGCCTCAGTTTGTAAGATAAGTTCATTTGCAAATGTAAGACCAAAGGGAGAAGCATCCTACAAGATTTTCAGGATATTTGGTTAAGGTGAGGTTTGAGTGAGCAAGATGCTTTTTTCCTTTTTTTTTTTTTGAGATAGAGTCTCCCTCTGTTGCCAGGCTGGAGTGCAGTGGCCTGGTCTTGGCTCACTGCACTCTCCACCTCCTGAGTTCAAGTGATTCTTCTGCCTCAGCCTCCCGAGTAGCTGGGACTACAAGCAGGTGCCACCACATCCAGCTAACTTTTTTAAAGTAGAGACAAGGTTTCACCATGTTGGCCAGGATGGTCTCAATCTCTTGATCTCATGATCTGCCTGCCTCAGCCTCCCAAAGTGCTGGGATTACAGGTGTGAGCCACTTTGCCGGCCGAGCAAGATGCTTTCACATCCTGTCCTGGCGTCCCTCCTGTGCTCAGTGCAGTGGGGTCCAGAGGGGCTGGTTGCAGGGTCCCTCAGAACCTCTTAAGAGCCCCTCATCCCAGTCCCAGGCTCGGGACACCAGGGGTCTCTGACCAGTGACATGAAAATTAAGGCTGGGCACGGTGACTCATACCTGTAATCCCAGCGCTTTTGGAGGCCGAGGTGGGCAGAGCTCTTAAACCAGCCTGGCACACATAGTGAAACCCCATTTCTGCTAGAAATACAAAAATTAGCTGGGTGTGGTGAAGGGTGCCTGTAATCCCAGCTACTCAGGAGATTGAGGCGGGAGAATTGCTTGAACCTGGGAGGCAGAGGTTGCATTGAGCTGACATCACGCCATTGCACTCCAGCCTGGATGACAGCGAGAATCCGTTAAAAATATTTTTTTAAAAATAAATAAAACCACCCCTTCCTGCAGGCCTATGGCTGTGCTGGGCATGTCTGCTGCTCCCCCACGCCCACCCCAGTGGTGTCATCCAGGTGTTACCTAGTGTTGGGAGCAAATGCTTTGGAGCTCACATCATGCATTGAAGATCCTGAACATAATACCCATTTCAACTGTGAAGTCTCTTTCTTTGCCTCTGTCCATTACTCCAGGCTCACCTATATTAAATCATGGGGGAACACTGGCTTCGGCATCCAGCGCAGCCCTGCCCTCCTGGTGCCGTCTGGAGCCTTCAGAGCCACTCTGCATGGTATTCATGACAGATGGCTTCCACTCAGACCGCTAAGTCTGATCGCCGCTCTATTCTGGTCTTGACCTTTCTGGCAGAATTTTCTGATGGGTCAAAGGCAGCGTGGCTTCTGCTATAACTTTACCACAAATAATGGGCAAGTTGTTTTCTGTTTATTTTATTCTTAATTTCTGAGCATGTGTGTTTTCCTAAACCGGATGCCAAACAGCATCTCTGTGTCCATCTGTTTACCAGTATACACAGATGTACACGGCGGCTGCCAGTGTTCTCAATGATTTCAGAGTTCACCGACCCTTTTCAAAGAAAGCTCTCCCAGTGGCAACTGTTGAGTAATGCAGGCTACACTGTTTATTCACAGTGGGCTTCAGTTTATAAAAACACAAACCTTAAAAAAAATTTAGGCGGGGCGCAGTGGCTCATGCCTGTAATCCCAGCACTTTGGGAGGTCGAGGCAGGGGGTCGCCTGAGGTCAGGAGTTCGAGACCAGCCTGGCCAACATGGTGAAACGCTGCTTCTACTGAAAATATAAAAATTAGCAGGGCATGGTGGCAGGCGCCTGTAGTTCCAGCTACTCGGGAGGCTGAGGCACAAGAATCACTTGAACCCGGGAGGTGGAGGTTGCAGTGAGCTGAGATTGAGTGCCACTGCACTCCAGCCTGGGCAACAGAGCAAAATTCCATCTCAAAAAAAAAAAAAAAAAATTAAAATATCCAAAATGATCTTCAGTCATTCTCTTGGGCTTCCTAACCTCTTGTAGCAAATGGCCACAGTCAGAACCCAAGTCCTTGTGGGTGAAGACTGAGGGAGATGTTGGGTCCCACGGGACCGGTGTCACAGGATACAGCAGGTTGAAGACTTGGGTGCAGGGCCGCCATTGCAAATTTCTGTGCCCACTGCAAGAGAAGACAGAAGATGGTGAGTGGGAACCACGTGTGCACACCAGCCTCGTTCCTTCTCTGCTGCCTGGTGTGACCTCTACCAACCCCTGCAGGAGAAAGGGCAGTGCTGAGGTCTATGGCCAGCCCAAGCCGATTAGCCTGGCTGAGCCTTTCTTAGTGCTTTAGCCCCTGTTGACACCGTGGCTTATTGTGTTCATCCTGGCCTCCCACAGCCTTGTTTATGTAGCATGGAATAGCAGGAATAGTGTGGAGTAGGGGAACAGCATGGGGTTGTGGGAACGGCATGGGGTAGCGGGAACAGCATGGCATAGTGAGAAGAGCAAGCCAGACCCCAGAGCTAAGGTAGCCAACTGTGGCAAAGGGCAAGGCTACAATGCCTTTGGGATTTGAACTTGGGAGTGTGCTGACTTGTGACAACGGAGTCCTTTATGCAGGACAAAACACATGATCACTTCTGTAGTGAAAAATGGGATTCACTGGCTAGGAATGGAGGAAGTTTTTCTGTCCAGGTTACTACGGAGGTGGAGTCAGCAGCTGCTGTCCTGCACCATGGCCCCTCTCCCGCAGTGTGGCCCAGCGCGAGGAGCCAGGCGCATCTGCCTCGGGGCTGCTTCAAAGTGGCTCTGCTTTTCTTCAGTCTAACTCTGCTCTGTGCCCTGTCTTTTCACGTTGCCTTGGGAGCGTCACAGAGTCCCTGCCCCACAGGCCCCACGGAGCCAGACCTTTCTTGGCCTCCACCCTGTCTTCCTGCTGCTTCTCCTCCAGAGCCTTCATCTTGGCCTCGTACTCGTCAGCCAGCGCCTTCCACTCCTTCCTGTTGTTCTGCAGTCGGTCGAACATAGGCAGGATCTCTTCGTGGAAACGGGAGAACTCCTGAGGGGGGTCGAGAAGTCACTGCGTGCCCCACGTGCCCCACGTGCTCTTGAGGGTTGGGACAGCACTTTCTCAGCTCATCCCTCCCCCTCGAGGGGGAACTGCTGGGCAGGAGGAGGGAGCATGTGAAGGGGCACCTTCCGGGCAGAGCTCTCTGAAGGGAGAAGGCTCCGGGCTTGTGCTGGTGACATCAAAGCTGGGAGCTTGAGGGTGCGAATGCTAAGAGTGCCATGTTGCAGGGAGAGGAACCCAGGAACGAGCTTGGGGCAGGGGCAGGTGCCCTGGCAGAGGGTGCTGAGCGCAGGTGGACAGCAGGCCCTGCAGAGCCTTCTCCCGTCCCTCCCACACACACATCCCACAAGCACACGTGCACATCACATGAGGTGGGGCAGGGTGGGGAAGGCAGTGGGGGCACCTGCAGGGTGCCGTGACCTGTGGCCACTTTAGGCCCAAATGTCCTCCCTGGCCCTGCCTTCTCCCCAGCACCGATGGCCCAGATCAGGTGGGATGTGGCACAGCCCACTCAGGGATGGCTTCGCGTGGAACCTGAAGTCTCATCCTTGGGGCGAGGATTCCAACACCACAGAGTGGACAGAGGGGCGGCTCTCTTGAGCATCACATGGGGGCCCCACAGTCAGACCTCTTTCCCCCCCACTCTCCCCATCAGCACCCGCCTTGCATCCTCAGAGACTCATCTGGGCATTGGGTCTGTAGCAAATCTGCAGAGATGTGCTTCCTGTTGTTCCAAATGCCATTGTGGGCGGACACACCAGGAGACGGGCAGACCCAGGTCCCTCCCCTCTGCTGAGGATTCACAGGCACCTTGCAGGCAGGTGCACAGGCAGACAGCTGCCTCGAGGGTTCACAGACGCCTTGTGGGTGGGAGTGCACACCAGGAGACAGGCAGACCTAGGCCCCCTCGAGGGTTCACAGACGCGGTGCAGGTGGGCACACCAGCACAGTCAGCCCCAGCCCCTGCCTTGCCTCAAAGGTTCACAGACATGGAACGAATGAACCCATGGGGTTGCAGTCAGGGACCCCAGAACAGGGTGTGCTGGCCGCGGTGGGGGACACTGAGGAGGGACTTCTGGGGTGGGCCTGGAGGTAAGCCGAGCACATTCTGGGCTGGGAAAGGGCTCAGAGCTTCGGGGGGCGCAGCAGGGTGGGGATGGGCTGGGGCGCCTGTTGGGGTTTGGACACTGATGTTCCTCCCCATCTGCCCCACTCAAGAGTGGCATGAAGCCTGCATAGGCGTCCCTGCTCCAGTGAGGACGCCACTAGGCTCCTGGGTGAGTCCATGCAAGTCCAGCCCCTGCCCCTCGCCTGT